TATTTATTTTTGTGGTGCTCAGGATCAAACCCAGGGCCTCACAAATGCTGTACAAATGCTCTACCACCAAACTACATCCCTAGTTCTAAATACAACTTATTTTAACCAAGTCTTAAATTTGAGAACATATTTCTTCTTCCTTCTGTAATACAGAAGGTAGGATGATCAGTTTTGGTCAACAGAATTAGGAGCATATAGTATTCCATTCTGGAGGATCTATCCCTATTCAGAACAGAAGCATTAAAAAACAATCATGTAAGAGTGAAGCATTAATCTGTTTACTTAGCAATCAGTTCCTCAGCTCCTAATATGTGCCAGATAATATGTTAGATATTTAGTAAAATGTATAAGTCATGATCCTGCCTTCCAGGAGCATCTCCTAGATGGTAGAAAATATGTTAAAAAAATAACAGCATGATAAATGCTGTTAAATGTGAGTGGTTTGCAATGAGATTGGAGCAGTAATCCGTCTAGGGTAAGTGGGACCAGAGTCACTAAGGTGACTTTTGAGCTGTGTTTACCTGACCCAGGCAGAGGAAATAGTCTGTGCAAAAGGAGCAGAATAAAAAAAAAAAAGGCTTGGAATGTTCGAAGAATGGTGAAAAGTTCATTGTGACAAGTGAAATGATGGGTTGGGGTGTGTGTGTGTGGGGGGGAGCGATATCAGCATAAATGCAAAGTTGCTTGCATGCCTGAGTTTGGATAGTATTCTGTCATAGTCATGCAAGAGGAGATTTGTAAACAGTGGGTGCTAGGCTTAGCTGATTTCTCAAGTAGAGAAAATGGGTTGTTCAAAGACAGCAAATGAGGCTATTGCAGTAGTGCCAGTCAGTGGTGGGCAAGGCTTTATCTGAGATAGTGGTAGTGAGTTTAGTAAAGCTGACAGATTCCTCCCTCCCTTCTTTCCTTCCTTCCTCCCTCCCTCTTTCCCCCTTCCTTCCTTCTTTGCTCTCTCCTTCCCTCCCTCTTTTTTTTGGTGGTATTGTGGTTTGAAGCCAGGGCTTTTCACTTGCTAGGCAAAGCACTCTACCACTTGTACCATTCCTCTAGCTCTAGACTCATTCAGGGTCTATTTCCATTTTTTTTTTTTTTTTGGCCTTACTGGGGTTTGAACTCATGTTGCTAGAAAGATGCACTACCACTTGAGCCACACCTCCATCCTAAAGCTGGCAGATTTTGAGACTCTGCTGATTATTTGTTGATGCATTGTTTCTGGGTGTTTAGAGAATGGGAACCTTGAAACACAGGGAGATGAAGTAGACAATGATGCCACCAACAGAGTATAACATAGGTAGAATTGGTGTATGGGGAAAAATCATGAAGAATTTTCTTTGGGAGCTGTAAATCTATGTAACAGGACATTACTGAATAGGTCCAGGAATTTGTTGTAAATAGGAGTCTGAAGCAAAGAGAGAGTGGAGTTAGAAATAAAATTTAAGGGTGAATGGCATGAAAATACTGAAAGTTATAATACTGAGCGTGTTTGCCCAGGGAGAGTAAAACTAAGGAGAGAGCACTGGAAAATCCAGATTTAATGTTGAGATATAGGTGTGAATGGAACTACTGAAGTTAGACAAGTTTCTAAGAGCAGTGAGTTGTAAGAAGTAAAGGATGTTGTGGTGATGTCAGCATACAAACTGAAGATGCGCCTTTGATTTGACAACTAATAGACCATTAATGAACTTTGGCAGATTTTCAGTAGCATGATGGAGATGAAGAGGTAATTCATAGTGGGTGAGATCTGGCTAGAGGTTGAAGTGAAGAAAGAGTAAGACTGGTGAATGCCAGGCTAGAATGACGGCTGGCATAGAAGAGAAAGGAGAATTTGAAATAGAGAAGAGGGATAGTAGATGTTGCTTCTGGTTCAGGAGCAGAAGAGACAAGGATGTGTCTCTTTAAGCTAAGGTGGGAGGTGGGAGGAGTACAATTTTAATAGGGATGTCACCACCTGTTATATTTTTCATGAAACAAGAGGCAAACTTGTAAAAATTGAGAGTGAGGAGAGCTGGGTTGTGTAAGAGGCTTTAAGATATGTGGTAAAAGTTTTAAAAGCTTATTTGTGGAGTAGGAAATAGTAAAAGTTTCTAAGGTTCACATTCCATCGAATGGAAGCCAACCCGGAGGCAGTGCAATCTTTCTCCGGCAGCCACTTGGTTGGAGAATGAAAGGGGAACTAAAAGATTGCAGTCTTGAGTAGAAAGAACAGATCTAGTGGAAAAAGGAGGGGTGGGGCTGGGTGGATGTTACCAGATGAAGGTGTTTCTTTGCGAGATGACAGTGATGGGAATGGGGAGTATGTGTCAGATGTTGGAGCCTTCTAAGAGGGATTTTAGGGTTGAGGCTGAAGAACAGTAGTTGTAAAGTGGCAACATGGACCTCAGCTAGTGTTTTCCTTCCTGGGAAGCATCCTGAATGGGATGAGTGAAAGACTCAAAGTGTAAGTATGTGAGAGTGACACTGTGGTGTACTGTTAAAGCTGTGAGAGAAGAAAAGCCAGTGAGTGAAAGGTAGGATTTACTTACGTAGACTGGAGAGAAGTTTCTAGAAGAGATTATTCATAATAAAATGGTGAATACTGTGGTAAATACCAGAAGCTGGTTTAGCAGCGAGAGGGAAATGTGTAGAACACGACACTTCATGAGGCAGAACAGAACTTTCCCCAAATGTGTAATTTAAAAGTGATCATGACAAATTAGGCATTATATATCATATAAATATAGTTCACATCTGCTATCAAGACATTTCACAGTTCAAAAGGAACATATAGAATGTGTGTGTATATATATATATATATAAAATATATATATTATATAATATATATTTCTCCTCCTCCTCCTCTTCCTTCTTCTCTTTCTCCCTCCCTCTTTCCAGTGCTACAGATTGAGCTGGGTATATTTTTAATATGAGAAATTTTGCCAAAAACATATGTTTCTGATTTTTGAGATTTAGCCTCTTTATACTCAGTAGGTTTTCTTACTTAAAAAATTTTTAAAGGAATTAAAAAATTTAACATGTACAACAAATTTACTTATTTGGTATACAGTTCATTGAATTTTTATACATGCCCAGGTTTTGCAACCTCACCTACAGACAGTGTACAGAACAATTCAAAACTCCAAGCAAGCAGTCTTCTGGTGCCATCCCTTTCTATTTAGACTCTACCATCTAATCCCTATGATCCACTGACTGTGCTGTATGGTGAATTTTTTTTGCCCTTTCTGGAATGCCTACAAATGGAATTAATCTAGAGTCTTTTGAAAATGGCTTCTTCTTCACTTAGCATAATACATTGTAGTTTATCCCTGCTGTTGCTTTGTGTATCAATAGTAATTCTTTTTTGTTGCTGAGTACTATGTTATTGTGTGACCCTACCACAGTTTGCTTACCCATCCCTAGTTGAGGGAAATTTGGACTGTTTCTAGTTTGCTTACCCATCCCTAGTTGAGGGAAATTTGGACTGTTTCCAGTGTTTGGTGATTTTAAACAAAAAGGTGGTATAAACATCATACTTCATTTTTGTGTGAATATAGGTTTTCGTCTTACCTAGGTAAATACTTGTGAGTGGGATTTCTAGGTCACATGGAGCATATACATTTAACTTTGTAAGAAATTGCCATACTGGTTTCCTGAGTGGCTGTGTCACTTTACATTCCCAGCAGTAATGTATGAGAGTTGCTGCGTTCTACATCCTCCCTGGCTCTGTGTATTGTTCATATTCTTAATTCAGTTGTTCTGATGGGGTTAGAGTAGTATTTCGTTATGGTTTTAATTTGCATTCCTTAGTGACTAATGATGTTGAGTATGTTTTTGTGTGTCTTCTTGCTATCATTTGTTTCTTCTTTGGTAAAGAGATAGATTTAAAAATGGGTATTTTAAATTTTTAATTGACACATAGTAATTGTACATATCAATGGGGTACATTGCGACATTTCAAAACTGAATACTGTGTAATGATCAGATCAGGATAATTGGGATAATCATTACCTCAGATTTTTATCATTTCTTTGCCTTGGGGACTTTGAAAGTCATCTCTGCTAGCTATTTTGAAATATATAATTAATTGTTATCAACTGGGGATTAATGTTGTTGATTATTTTTATTGCATTGTTTGTTTCCTTATGATTAAATTTTGATATATATATATATATATACTTAGTCCTAGAGACTGAACACAGGGCTTCACACATGCTAGGCAAGCACTTTGCCACTGACCTATATCCTCAGCCCACCCATATATCCTTAATATAAGTTCTTTATGAAATGTAAAATTTGCAAATATTTTCTCCCAGTCTGTAGTTTATTTCCTCAATCCCTTAATAGAGTCCTTTGCAGATCAAAAAGTTTTTTTCCTTCTTGGTGAAGTCCAATATTGCATATCAATTCTTTTTTTATGGATAGTACATTTAGTGTTGCATATAAGAAATTTTTGCCTTAACCAAGGTCATGAAGGTTTGTCCTATATTTTTCTCTAAGAGTTTTATAGTTTTACATTTTATACTTAGGTTCAGTATTCATTTGGAGTTAATTTGGAGGTGAGATTTAATTTTTTTTGCATATGCATGTCTTTATAATATTATTTGTTGTAAAAACTATCATTTCTCTGTGAATTTGTTGAAAATCAGTTGTCCATGTTTGTGTTGATCCATTTTGGACTCTCTTGTTTGTTCCATCAATCTATGTGTCTGTCCTTCCTCCAGTACCTCCTGACTACTGTAGCTTTATACATCGTAAAATTGGGTAATGTGAGTCTTCCAACTTTGTTCTTTTTCAAAATCATTTCAGCTACTCTGGTTCCTTTACCTTCCTATATAAATTTTAGAGTCAGCTTGTCTGTTATCTACAAAGAATACTTTTGGATTTTGATTGGAATTGCAGTAAGTCTGGATGTCCGTTTTGAGATAATTGGCATTTAATTGATGAGTTTTCTTTTATCTCTTCCTTTAGAGTTATGTAGTCTTCAATACATAGACCCTTAATGTTTAATTTTAAACCACTTACAGATTGGACTATGGAAATGGGAAGTGAAGAAGAAAAATGGGAGAAGCTGGATGCAGAGTTTGATCACTTTGTGGTAGATATGAAGCCCTTCGTTCTAAAATTACCCCATAGGTCAGGTAAGATTGTGTTTGAAACTAGATACTTAGGATTAATTTTTCTTTATTATTATTTAATCAAACCAGTGAACTGCCAAAAAATGGAAAGAAATCTCAAATCTTTTAGTAATAATTTTCACTACTGAGGTAGGATTGCTTACTTCAGTTGTTCAAGGGTAAATAAAAATTTATTGACAGTGTCCTCTAAGTTGTGGAAAGATCTTATTGTGATACCACCACTCATATGCCATGAGCCTATACTACATGGATCTCAAAAGTTAGCTATGACTGCTTTTTCTGGCATCCTTTTCCTCTTGTGGAAATATCTTCTGTTTCAGGCCCTACCATTTACTTACTCTCTGACCCTTTTGTTTATCAAAGCAGAAAAGAATCTGTTGGTCTCTTATGCTTATTAACTGATAGAATAAAATCAAGTATGAATGAGTTTTTATTTGTATGTTGCCTCTAATTTCTGTTCAGAAACAGGAATTGTGAGAGTCTGTCTCAAAATACATAATTTTCAGATAATTTAAGGCATCTGAGAGAAATTAGAATTTTGGGCCCAGGGAGATTCTCTAGGTCACTGTAGGTATAGGTTAGCCATAAAGGTAAATCTGACTTGGTAGCTGTGGAATTAACGGTGAAGTGGGACTAAGGAACTATGGCTTTTACCTTTTCCAAGTTCTCTGTTTATACAAAGTGAGGGACTGACTCAGTATTAGATATTTATTCCAGGGAGTTGTATTGGGAGAAGGGAGTGTGACATATGTATTTTGCCTTCTGTAGTCACTTACTGTTACAGAGCTTGCAGCCTTTCCAATTCAGGATGATTTGGCATAGCCTTCCCTTGAATCCTTTACTTCTGCCTCTTCTCTTGCCTTGTTGGACCTGAACCTTTTCTTTGTTTCTCTGCGAGTCTTCAAATGAGTATTTCATATCTCATGGCTCATTCATGATGATTTCAAATAGTTTTTAATGATATTTTTGTACTTCATCCTTTTCTGATACTACTTTTTTTCTTTTTGTCTTGGTCTGCTGATTAAGAAAAAATTATATTAAGATTTCCCATTATAAATGTATTTCAAATTGAGCCATTCTCATATTTTATCTTCTTTTAAAAATAGATTTTAGATACATAGAGTTTGTCCATGACTTGCGTGGGTATGCTGCGTGAACCTAAGAGCGGCGGGGAATGAGAAATAAAACACACACAAGCATACAGACATACAGCATAAAACAGAATGCTGGGATCGGGAGGGCTGCATGTTCCTGGTGGGAAACGTGAGCGCCTACCTGAGCCAGAGTGTTTATTTTATAGGTCAGTATAAGGAAAAGACTCAGGTAAAAATGAAGCTTTAACAATTCTTGATGCAAGGTGAAAGGAATGAGGTTTGGTGGGCTAATTTTCCTATGGCTAATGAAGCTTAATTACAACACATCAGTTTTGGAACCATCAAGGCACGCAGGACACCTTGTCTAAGGTATTGATGAATCTGGCATCAGGGAGTCTCCTGACAGTTCTGATACTTTTTCTAGTTTTGCATCAGGGGGCTGGTATGCGGACACAGCAGGTTGTATTCTTCAAGGAGATGTGAGAACAAAGGTTAAGACACCAGGTACTGGGAAAAATATGGCAGGAGAGACTGTGCAAGCTCCTACCATGGAGAAGCCATGCAGCTCCATTATTTCCCAGTCCAGGGTTCATGCCTGGTCTCCAACAGAGTTGATTAATTATAATCTTTGATTCATGATGCATTGTGAATATTGGAACATTCATGGTCCTCTTATATTTAATTAATTCATAATGAGCATGTGGGAATTCATGTCACATTCAAGAACTATTCTTTTAGCTAAATTCTACTTTTGACAGTATTTCCATCCAACGTTTTAATTAGAGGATTGAATTCTTTTCAGTAACCAATTTGTACTAAATTCTGTGTATTAGAATATAAAAGAGATTTTAATTTGCTACAGAATATCTTGAAAACACAGTTTGAAAAGCTATTTACTTAAGTTCATCAGTTTCACTTTTATATTTTCTTTTTGTACAAAGCACACCCAGTGTTAAATGAAGTTTGTTTTATGATATAATTTTCGTAGCAAAAAAATACAAAAGTTTTTTAGTGGCATAGCTCTCATACCTGAAGTGAGATTTGCCAAGTGGTAAATCCAGCCTTAGTGATTTTTGTAGGTAAAACAATAAATGAACATGACCTTTATAAACTAAGAGATTAGAGTAGACTTATGATATAATCCTCAAATTGATTAAAGTGATAAAAATTAACATCCGAGTAGTTTTCATTAGACTTGAAAAAAGTCTGATGTGTCACAGCAAGATAATACAATGAATGGATCATTATATGTGAATTAAACTATGCTATTTTTTAGGTAGATTTTTAAAAAGGATAATCATTTTATGATATTACATGTAAATACCACTCAATTATTTTTAGAGATGTTAAAAGAAAACCCTAAATAACCAGCTACAAATCCTTGGAAATTATTGGCTTTAATGTACCAATCATTTGGATTTAATTTTAGAGTAAGTATAAATGCTTGATAAATCAGAGCTTGTATTTGATCTCTTTTTAGGTTTCATAGTTAGAATTATAGACAGCTTTTTCAGTATATCTTAAAAGTTTTTAGAGATGCAAAATTAGAGCAAAATCTTAAATTTATTTTATGGTATTCTAGAGATTTTATTTTTATGAAAATTGCTTTGCATTTGTCTTGCCCAACTGCCAACTCACTAGCAAAGTAAAATTCTAGACTGGGAATCTATGGCCCATGCCAACTACAGCTCACAGCTTTTTTTGGAAAGTTTTATTAGAACACAACCAGGCATTTGTTTACATATGGTTTGTTAATGCTTTCTTGATGTGACTAAGTAGACTAATTGTACCACAGATCATAAGACCTGCAAAACTTAGAGTATTTACCCTTGAGCTCTTTACAGAAGTTTGCTGATCTTTGCTCTAGACTGAAGTAAATGCTATTATAAGTCTTTGCAACTTAATGTTTTATTTTTGAAAAGGTAAGTTTCTTATCATTTGTATGTATTTATAGAACGGCAGAGGTGTGCTCTTTGGATTAGAAAGCTGTGTGAACCTTCAGGAACAGGTGCAGGAGTCATGGGCAGGAAGAATCGGAACCTCTACGCCAAACTGTTACTGCATATGCTTAAGCGGGGAGTACTGGAAGGTCCTTTTACACACCGCCCTGAACCAGGGACTCTAAAAACATTACCATCATACATGGTAGGTACCATTGAGCACAAGTGTATTAGTTTCATTTCTTTAAAAGTGAATGTAAAGCTGGGTGTGGTGGCATATAGCTTTAATCCCAGCATATGGAAGGTGGAGGTGGGACGACCTTAACTTCAGGAATAACCTGGGCTAGGTATGGAGTTTGAGGCCAGCATGTCCTGCAGTGAGATCCTGTTTCAAACAAAACAAAATAAAAAGGTAGGAAAAAAAGTGAGTGTAACTTATCATACCTTTTGGGAATGATAACACTGTTAAGTTAAATGTGCTAGATAACACATTAGTTAAAACTGTTTTTTTTCCCCATGATTCAGTTCTTTCCAACTTTCATAGAAAGCAGGCATTAGCCTATAAGGAGGATATCTGTATTGATTTATTCTGTTATATTTGCGATATTTCTATAAATGAATTTTCAGTATTAAGCTTAATTTCCTAATTTTCATTGAATTATAATAGTAACATTTCAGTAAATACTAGTTTATATATTATTTTAAAATTTATAAGCAGTTGGGTTGAATGACTTCTATAAGTTCTACTGTAACAACAATAGTAAGTTGGAGCTTAAAAATGATTTTATATACTTCACTTAATTATAATCAGCTTTGTCACAAGGCAGTTTTACTATGCTTCATTGATGAATTGTTACTATCTTGTCCCTTATAAACAGGAAATACACCTTGATTTGTGTGGGATATGAGTTCTTGAGAAGTATAATTGGGTGGTGCTAGTAGTTGTTAATGTGTTAATGTGTGTGTGTATGTGTGGATACATATACATATTTATGAACTGCAAAATTCTTATGTGATGTATTATAAGATTTTTTGTATTTTATCAGTTTACTTAAATCAAAATTTAATCATATGACATGCTACACACTAGAGGATAATTCCTGTTGTTGGTGGCAGAATGCTCAAAAGTTTTAATGCTATTTTCCAACTTATGTTAAAGTAGTGCCATACCTTTTGCTCATGTTAAGATTAGTAGTATTTGAGATAGTAGTTGCTTGAGTTCATATTTGGTTAGACATCGAAGTGACTACTGCAGTAATACCCCTCGCTTGTTTGTGGGGGATACATTTCAAGATCCTTTCTCCCACTGTGTGTCTATCTCTGAATCCTTTAAACTATACTGATAGTTGAGACAGCTACTAAATAACTAATGGGAAGATGTATATACAACATGAATATATCTGGTGTGACATAGTGAGACAAATGGTGCAAGTTTTCATTACATTGATTCAGAATGGTATGCAATTTAAAACTTACTATTTCTGGAATTTTCCATTTAATGTTGACTGCAGGTAATTAAAACCATGGAAAGCGAAACTGTGGATAAGAGGTCAGGGTTAGTCTATCTCATTTAAAAAGACATTGCCATGCATTTCTAATTTGGGATAGAGGCTTACATGTCACTCCTCCCTGGAGAATAGCCCCCTGAGGATTTCTGTGTAGGACTGGGAAAATTGTACAAGTTCCAGTTGGGGCACTTTTCTTCAGAAAGAGTTACAGCCCAACTCACTTAGAGAAAAATAAATGGGCTAATATCATCTTTAACGACTGAAGGAGAACATTTTATGTTAAGATGTAATGTGCTAATATGAGTATATTGTGTCATATTTTCCCATTCACAGTCAATTTTACAGAGTCATAGGGAAGGACTTTATTTTACAAATAATAATAATGAGAAGGCCTGGGGACTTGTCATGGGTACCCTCTCCAGTTAATAATATGCCCAGAACAAAAGCCCAAGTCTCTCACTGTGTCATTACCACCTTATCATGGGATTAGTGATTTTAATTTCTGACTTGTGTTGATTGTGGTTTCTCTTCCAATGGAGTGTGCATGTGGGTGCGCAGCAAAGTTGTAAGGGTCACAAAAAGAAATAGGGTAGAACATGATTTAAAAAAGGCTTTCCATTTAGTTCTTCATAAAGCTAATATCACTGCTTTACATAAGAAATTATTCTCAAATTATCTGTTGTATAGTTTTGTTATTTAATAAATTTCTTATATAGCAGAGTATGAAAGTGTAAATATTTTATCCATTTTGTTATTTTAGTATTTCATAATCATTGTGCATTGAGTGATACATTTTAATATATTTGTATGTAATTGAATTTAAATTGAGTATTTGAAAGGCTTTTATGAAAATGAAACAGTGCAAATTTTAAGTGTTTCTTTATAGTATATTTGAAAGAATAATTTCTTTTTCTTTTGATTGGTTAAAATGAAATTTTATTTTTTTATTTACAGTAAGTTGGCTATAGGTTCACTTTAGTCGGAACCGAAGGCACTGGAACTAGCTTAGCCTAATGCCCATTCTGGTTTTTTTTTTTTTGTTGTTGTTTTATTATTCATATGTGCATACAGGGCTTGGGTCATTTCTACCCCCTGCCCCCACCCCCTCCCTTACCACCCATCCCACCCCCTCCTTCTCTCCCCCTCCCCCTCTATAACCCGGCAGAAACTATTTTGCCCTTGTCTCTAATTTTGTCGAAGAGAGAGTATAAGCAATAATAGGAAAGAACAAGTGTTTTTGCTGGTTGAGATAAGGATAGCTATACAGGGAGTTGACTCACATTAATTTCCTGTGTGTGTGTTACCTTCTAGGTTAATTCTTTTTGATCTAATTTCTTTAATTTTTAAAAATCAGTCCATCTATTTTGATGAACCAAATCCAGCACGAGGAAAAGGTTCAAGCCCAGAGAAGTTACCTGACTGGGTAATGGGTGAACTGGGGACAAGTGAACACAGATTAAGTGAATCATGGAATATTTCTTCTGGAGAAGATAACACTTTGGTGATGTTGCCCACTGAGGCCCACAGGTATGCTACAAAAATAAGATTTTGAATGTTTATCATTTAGCCTGTCTTTTGAACTGGTTCTTACATTTATATTTTTAGCTACTTTTATGGATATCAATTAATTTCATATACATACACTCATAGACTCTTTAAATAACATGACTGCATTTTCTTTTATGAGATGAATTAAGAACATTATCAATGACTTCAATAAAATAGAACATCTTGCACGTCCATGTTGATTCTTAGATGTGACTATTTTTCCTTTCCTCCTCATTGAGAAATATTTGTTTTCATTTAATGAAATAAGAATATAAATATAAACCTCATTAAAATGTGCTTTCTTACCATGTAGTATTAAGCTTAAGCAGGATTTTTAGTACAAATAAAAAGAAACTTCTAAGATACACAAAAAGACTGTTATTGTTACAGTATAGTTTTGGGCCTTTATGAGGAATACATTTAAATTTGGGCTTGTATCAAATTTTTATTTTTCCTGTCGTCATTGTTCCCTAAAATGTTAAAATTTTGGACAGTGTCAGTTGACATGTTCCATGCTTTATACTTCACTCCTCACAACTTTCTTGGTAGTTTTAAGAATTTGTTTCTGTTAACAATGTAATCTTTCTTGCCCACTATAATTTCTTTGATTTATACCTTAACCAGATACAGAAATGTTAGTAATTTGAAATGTTTCAATTGCTGATTTAGTCTGGTTATGTATTTTTCAGACCTGAGATATTATGGTGGAAAAGAACAGATGAACACAAAGCAAGAGATCCAGTCCATGAAATTATTTTATTAGAAAGGGGAAACAAATTAACATGGAGAGACAATGAAGGATGAAGTGATAAAATTAAGGACATGTTCAGAAAAATAAAAAGAAATGAATATATGAGTCCATAGGACATGGTGTTAAATGCTTATTTTTATATTCATAGAGAATAAAAATGAGATGTATAATTATAGAATTTTTGTTAGCCTTGGAGGCAGGTAAATGGAGATGTAAAGAGACTGTGTCTATATACAAAGAAAAATACAATCTTAGTTTGGCTGCAAAATCCATTTATTGTTTGTCAAAATAATAATTTTTTGGTGGCACTGGGGTTTGAACTCAGAGCCTCATACTTGCTAGGGAGATGCCTTAATGCTTGAGCCACTTTGCCAGGCTAAATTCTGCATTATTTTCTAGGTGCAGTGAACATGGAGTTTGTGATATAAAGGTGAACTAAACTTGAGCCACATTGTTTAGCTAAATTCTGGGTTCCTTTTTAGGTGTAATGAACATGAACTTTGTGATATAAAGGTGAACTAAACTTGGAAACTATGTATTGGAGCTTAAACCAGAGGTTAATAATCTTCCTAGACTGAAAAAGTTATGTGGACAGATTTGTTTTGTTTGACTTGCACAGTGTCATTGAATGAGTTGTCAAAATTAGCAATTGGGAAATTTCATATCAAAATCCAACTTTCTTAAAAAAAACTGGAAACTTGATAATCTTTCCAGAAGACAGCTGTAGGTGACATAGGTTAGAGGTAAATAATATTTAGTTACTCCCTTAATGTAACATGCTTTCACTCTTTCCTGGGCTTGAATTTGATGTCAGTTGCATCCATTCAGTGTGAACTTTTTATTCCTTTAGGTTCGGTTAAGAAGGAAGTGAAATGTTGTTTTCCTATTTTTATATTCTATTAATGTAACATGCCTTCACTCTTTAATGGGCTTGAATTTAATGTCAGTTGCATCCATTAAATGTGAACTTTTTGTTCCTTTAAGTGTAGGGTTAAGAAGGAAATGAAACGTTGTTTTCCTATTTTTATATTCTATCAAAAATACAAAGAAGATATGTAGAAGAGGGATTATATGATTCAAGAAGGGAAAAGACATGTTTGTAGAAGGGAAGAAAGAATATATTTGGTAGCATAATTTCTCATTTATTTCCTGTTTAAGTAATATGCATTTAATTTTTAACTGTTTTGTATGAATTGAGAAGAGAGATAAGTACATGTATAATTTTAATGCAGTGGTTATGTGTAGTTATGGAAGTATTTGAAAAGATTGAAGTATGGACAAGGGAAGGGTTCAGCATAGGAAATGGATTTGAGATTTATAGGAGTCCAGGTGAATGGAGTTTTTTCTCCCTTGGAACATAGGATAAATTTTGTGAAAATATTCTTTAATTATTACTCAGTGACTTTTTTGGAAAATAAAACCATAGTAAAATCCCCACATTAAAAATGACTTATTTCTCTTAGTTGCCCACCTATAATTAAATACATTTTAATACAAAATAGTGACTTAAGTATGAGACATTACTTATCAATTAGAAATGATCAGTAGGAACATGAGATAGCTTTATAAGGCTCTGGTCCATCCTTCATCTTTTACAACCTCAAAAAAAAAAAACCAAAAAAAAAACCCCCTCATCTAAGCTAGGTGTGGTGGCACAGGCTGTTATCCTAGTACTAGACTGAGGTAGGAGGATCATGCATTTAAGGCAAGCCTGGGCTGCATAGGGAGACTGTCTCAAAAAATCTACCCATCAACCTATAAATGAACACACCCCAGAAGCAACCCCCACAACCAAAACAGCAACAAAAAAGTCTTACCTGACATCCCAGCTCAGTTTAGGTGATCCTGTTCTTTACTCCTGTAGAACATAGCACTCTGTATTTCTCTGTATCATCACTATACTTTGTTCTAGCTTGTAATTTCATGGTATTTTTCCTATTTGCACTATATTTTCAGCTCTTAGCACTGGGAGGGAACATGTTAGGAATTCAATAAGCATTTGTATCACAAATTTATTTTAATTTATATGAAGACCCTTTGGGACATGTGTATTGTGTCATAGGGGATAGTCCAGAGGATTTTTTAAATTGAATCTTTAGAGAATGTGGAGGGAAGGGTAAACTTCAGAGAATTTCAGAGGAAATGTGGAAATGATCTCCAGAGATTATCTTCACACACCATGCAAGACAGTGAAGGAGCTGTAAGGACATTCCTAAAGGATAGTGGTCAATTGTGGCTGCAAAACCAGAACTTTTTAGAGTATCTTATGCTTCTTTTGGTTTAATAATTTGATTTGCTTTGAAATTTCAATTTGATTTGGATTGTAATCTACATATGTATTAATTAACAGATATTTGCCATTTTATATACACGAAGGCATTTAAAAATAACTTTTATATTGGCTGTAGTTGACAAAATTGATTTTAAGGCTGAATACAACATGTGCGATATCAGATCAGATGTGCTGGTGAACGGTCATTGATGGGTCTGTCTCCAGATTTCTTTTTTAAATTTGCTCCTTTACTCTGAGTGGTCATACTGTGCTAATGAGAAAGTTACTATCTGTTAATGTTGACCTAATACATCTAATCAGTTCTGAAAGAAATTGTTTCAAAAAGTTTAAGAGGCTTATAATATTTGACACATGTATGTTTTTTTATAGTGAATAATTTATTGTTACTTAGAACTGAAGTTTAATGCTGCCTCATAAATTTTACAACCGTTTCAACTTGTCCTTTGAAAAACCTCTTTAATCTTAAAAGATCTTTCCCCCTTAGTGTTTCTTTTTTGATCACTTTATAAAATCCTGCTTTACTTAGACCTTTTTGTATGTGAAGTATTTCTAATGGCATTTTAGATTATGCTGTTTGTGCCCTTGCCTTTTTATATCATTAAAGATGCAGAATCCTTTTGAAGCCTTTTTGTTAGGACTCTCTATTCAGTAGAGATGGCACCTTTCCTTTCCTTTCAGTCTTCCTGTAGAATATGGCATTAGTCTGTTGCATGCTTGCTAGATGTATCATGAGGTCATATTCAGTCTTATAATATGCTTCTCCCAAATACACATCATAGAGTAGTATACTTAGTATGTCACACCAAACACTTTCAACACTCAGCTAGTCCTATCCTGATTCTCTGCTTGCCTTTTTCATATTTCTTGATTTAAGATCATGTTTTACCATTTTTTTCCTTTAGAGGCACCACTTATCCAAATTGTGTTGCTATTTTATTATAATTCTGTTGTTGTTGCATTTCTATATGAAGTATCTTGCTTTTTTCCTTTTATTTTTTTAAAACTCCAGGGTTTGAACTTGGGGCCTCCTGCTTGCTAGGCAGGTACCCTACCACTTGAGCCATACCCTCAGCCCTTTTTTGCTTTAGTTACTTTTCAGATGGGGGGGTCTCATATTTTTTGCCTGGTTCAACCAGGACTGTGATCCTCCTATTTATACCTCTATAGGTGGGATGGCAGGCACAAGCTATCACATCCAACTTACTGGTTGTGATGGGGTCTCACTTTCTTCTCAGGCTGACCTGGCTTCCAGCTATGATCTTCTCAATCTTTGTCATTTGAATAGCTAGGATTATGGTTGTGAACCAGCACACCTGGCCATTGGAATCTTTTCTTGACTAAATACTTCAGTTGTATTTGACTTTGGAGCATGACTTTATAAAATGTTACTAAGAGATCATAGACTTATCTCTCACTCACGTAAAGTTTGGTTAATTTCATTCAGTGCTATAATCATGGGCTATCTGAAAATATACTACCTTTCTGGTCATCATTCAGATGTTTGCCATTGAGATCTGATAAGGAACTTGACTTTGTAGTAGGCAGATTTTAAGGTGGCCCCTGTGACTCTCCCCTTGGGGTTCTTCATATAATCCTTTCCCCATGAATATGGGACCTGTGCTTTCTTCTAGCCAATAGAATATGGCAATGGTGATGAGCTGTCACTCCTGTGATTATATTGTGTTGTATAAAACTCCATCTTGTTAGCAGACTTACTCTAGAGTCTTGTTGTCATTCCCTTTACTGACTTTGAAGAAGCAGCTGCCATGACTCATATAATCATAAGGAACTGAATGCTGACAGCCGTGCAGGCAGGGAAGTGGATCTTTTCCTAGTTGAGTCTCCACATGAGAGCCCAGCTCTGGTCAAATCATTATTGCAGCCATATGTGGTCTCAGGCATAGGACCTAGCTCAGCAGAGCCTAGACTGCTAATCCACAGAGCCTATGAGAAAATTTATGTGTTGTTTCAAGCTGTTCACTTAGTAATAATTTGTTCTTCAGCAATACATGGTGAATACAGTATTTATCTTCATTTTAGAAAATTTTGCAATATATATATACAAAACATGCTTGATAAAAACCTCAATGTACAAATATGCAGAATAAAAAGTCAAAGTTTTTCTGTTTCCTTTTCCTACTCTCCTCATGATAGGTAATTGCCACCAACAATTTGGGGCATAGTATTTTATAATAGACAACCAACACCCACACCTATGTAATTAAAAATTATAAATTGACTTGTACTGTATGTACTGTTGTATGACTTGCTCTTTTTTCACTTAATTATGTCTTAAATCTTTGTCATGTAATCTTATATAGCCTTTTTACTTGCAGATAATAACTTATACTGTGAATATATAACCTTTCTCTATTGCTTTCAATTCTTTGGAATTCCTTAATTAACATCCTAATAAATATATCATTATTCGCCTTGTATTAAAATGTACCTGAGATTTGTTTTAACCAGATATGATAAGAGACAATTGCTTTTGAAAAAATTATTCAATTACTAAGAGGAAGGGGCATGGCATACCATGTAGGGCCACATGGGAAAGCCCCAGTGTTGGGCAGGAGGTAGAAGGAGTGATGGGAAAGCATGGTTGAAAGCCTTTTTTCACTATACTGGTGGGAAGTTATTAGGTAGAGATGTCCCCTATTGGGTAGGAAGTGAAACACAGATGTTGGGATTTGTGGTTGAAGAGTTTGTAATATGATTTCCATGTGTCCATGAAAAGACAGGGATGGTATGGATGTAAGC